TGGATCCTGGTGGATTCTGGTGGATTCTATGGATTCTGGTGGATTCTGATGGATTCTATGAATTCTGGTAGATTCTGGTGGATTCTACGGCTCCTGGTGGATTCTGGTGGATTCTACGGCTCCTGGTGGATTCTAGAATCCATCAGGAGCCACCAGGAGCCGCTTTTTCCGCCTTGCTTTCGGGGCACCCACACTTGAGATGTTATGTGTGTGTGTTGACGTTGTTTTCAGCCTTTCGCGGCACCCACACCGTTCACGGTCGTTAGTTTGCGTTAAATTTTCATCAAATACGGGGAAACTATGAATATGCAATGTGTCGCCAAGACGTGTTTTTGGAGTAAGTTGAGGGTGTGGGGTGTCATGCAGTGAGGAGAACTGAAGTGACAAATATTGGCAAAAAGTGTGAATTTTTACCTGCATGCGCGAGATGCGGAGAATCGAAAGAGTACAATTGTTAAAGCTGAAATTGATTTAGGGATGGACCTTAGTGGTATGTAATTCTGTAGAAAATTTCAATTGTATGGAATGAATTCTTCTTGAGATATTGAGTTACCAAAACTGCATTTCGAGAAATTGTAACTTGAAACTTGAAGTTTCCGTTGGATTCAAGTTTCAAGTTCGAGATGTATGAAAAATTGTGTACACAGAGACCCTCTTTGGTCGCGGCTCTGTGGGGGACGCTGCGCGCCCCCACGCCGCGACACTTAGATAAAGATGTGTGTAACGAGGCAGAAGTCGTAGACCTAGGTGTGAATAACGTGACAGAAGTCGTAGACCTAGCTGTGTATAACGAGACAGAAGTCGGAGTGAGTGAGGATGTTTACAACATGCACTAGTTAGCCTTTACTGCACACTTTCCATATTCTGTTAGACGATTGTCCGGATTGTGGTTGTTGAATATTTAAAGGTTTACTGAGGCATAAGTTTTTACCTGACTTACTACTCGGTCAGGCATATTTTTATATTTTCAGCTTCTGAAACGCCAATCAGTGGTGCCTCAATTCCAAATATAAATTCTATATTTACGATCAATTTTAAACTTTTCCTTTTTTGCCTTCATTTATATGACAGCCTCCAATTCGAATTATAAAATTTATATTTAGGATAAATTTTATCTTTTGCTTTTTCATTCAACTATATGGGTGCCGAATTTTTTATTTTCGAATCGAATTTGTGTAGTTGAACCTTCATTTATATTCGAATTCGAATTAAGTATCTCATGTTACGGCCGGCTGTTGCCAAATGGCAACATACAGCCATTCAACATAGAAGCACCGTTCAATTTTAAGAAATAGTTTTTTGCTATTTCTATGGCAGGATAAGAAAATATATGCAGAAGAAGAGTTTTAACTAGGTCGCTTCTGGGAGCCGGCTGAAAAGGGTTAAGGAATTAAAAATTTGGTTGAATTTTATGAAAACCATTTTCAATTGGTTTATTCAATAACTGAGATTATGTTCATGTTTATCGCTGATTCATTTCAGAGAAGGAATGAAATACAAACATATATTTATTTTCTTATGAACTACAACCAAAAACATTTCATTGATATTCAAGTTTTATATTTGACTGCGGCTCATTGTAAAGGTATTGCGTAGCTCTCTCTAATGTCACTGTAAGTGAACACATAAAAGGGTACAACTATGAATTTCTATTTGAAATCGTTGGAAACAACTAGATTTGCTCACGATGTAGGCTTATTAATAGCTGAATTTCTTTTATTGACCATTGAGTCATCAGCAAAACCAACTTTTCACATCCAAACAAAGAGAATCATCAAGCTCTAGAATACGATCTCGAAATAGAACTGACCATGATTAATGCATGGGCTGGAAAGTTGCGAGTGGCAGTAGATGGATTGCTAATGCACACTGAATGACTAAGTTCAAACACTAAAATTGCATTCTACATTCTATAAATGCACATACAATAGAGCATGAATCAATAGTCTAGCGCCTATTTTCTGTGTCTAAGATTGCGGCTTTTTTACATCCTCAGTATTTTTATTATTTCGACAGTCTCAACATTCTAGATATATTTACTTTGTTCACTTTCATATATACCTAAAAAATCATCATCATCATATCCATGTTTTTATCAATGTGAAATGGACTTTGCAATTAATATGATTGAAGCAGTATCCTTGTGATGATCCTATTCTCATTGGTTATCAAAAATTTAGTACGGCTTTAATTGGTAACTCAATAAGTTAGAAATAAATCATATTATACTCTTTAATTGCCGGTTAGAAACTTGTCATATAAAAAGAAATTAAAATGGTTATGGTATCGTCTGGCTTTGATTCTGGGTAATTAAATATAACTTAATTCGTAAAGTGATCATGTCAATGTACAGTCACGTTATAATCAGCAGTGGATTTACGTGAATCATTAAGGAATTTCCTAGAGAAGCTTAGAGAACTAAAACGTTTTTTATAGAAAGTTTTAGGGAATATGAGGAAATTGCGCAAGTCTCAACCAGAGCAGTAGAAAATTCTGCAATAATTAACGCTCAACTTTGCCAAATAAAATCCTGTCTCGATAGTTTCAACTTGTGAACTTGAATACTTGATTTTGGGCTTTAAATTTGGCAAAAGACGTCACTGAAATATTATGTTTGACGAGTAGGAGTAACAAACCATGAAATGATTAAATCATGATATAGAAAAAAGTGTTCACATCTTCAATAGAATGTGGATTCGTTTTTAAAATAGTATCATCGTGAGCTTGTCGAGAATGATATTTTACCCAAATCCAATTTAAAATAATTAGAAGAGATAAATTTTCATCCTATTCCACAAGACGGATTTCAATGGATCTAAAATCTTTCTTTTCCTGACAAAAAATCTGACGTGCACTATTTCCTTCACGCTAATTACATCATTTATTGAATTTGCACGTTTTGAGATGATCAAAAGATAAGCTTTAGACGATTCATGGATAAATTTAGTGCTTAGTGTTCAAAGAGCAATTAGAATATTCTTTTCAACATCAAACATGCGGTCGTAATTTAATATAATCGCTAACGTTGTTAACAAAACAATAACTCAATGAACGTTACAATGGGCAATGCAGCGCTGATAATTACTGATAATAATAAACTCTCACTCTGGTTCATTGATTTTCATGACTTTCATAGCAACATGACGGAAATGGGAGCGAGGATTGAAAATTTCATATTATCAGATGCGTTCTCTAAGCAGCTAGTGAAAGTGCCGCAGCTATCTCCATATGCTTGGATCTTTCTGAGAATTCATATGATACACCTAGTCTAAGTAATAGCAGACTCAGAATAAAACGTTCGTAGAGAAAATTCAAATTAGCTGAAATTGAACAGTATATTTCAAAATACATTGAAAGCGACGATGCTACCTGGGATAGCCACTGAATTGATTGGGTGATTGTTCATAGAAGGTGAAAGAAAGAAATGAGAAGAGAAATTATGTATAGCTCCTCCTCTATATCCCAAATATTATCTACATCCTATTATTACGCAAATGCGAGTTATACATTTTGCGTATCTTCGATCCAACTTAATATTTTTTATAGCTTAAATATTCTAAATGAATCAAACACATGTTTGTAGAAGCAATGAGAAATGGGGAACTTTTCCAAATGAGAGAATTTCAAAGAGCACATGTCAACTGTCAAAACTATGTCAAGTGTTGTCATAATCTTCCTTGATTTAAGCTATTTATTTTTTAATAGCAACTGTTGTAGAACTTCTAATAATGCATCAAAACTTGTGTCAGCCAGACTTTAGGACTTCGACATATTGCCTCAAAATGAGGTATAGCCAGCAAGATTTTTCATTATTAATTTATATTTGTTTCTACAAGCAGTATTTTAATATATCCGAAACCCGTTAGATGACACAAAGATAAATAGAAAGCAACTGTTAACTGATGCACATAAAGCTTTTCTCGATTCTCTTTTTCACTTTTAGTCTACTCGAAATAAATCAGCTGTCATCAAAAAATGATTAGTTACACATATGTTCGAGATCACCATTCGAAATCTGACCTTTCATAGGTTTCATTATTTTACTTTGTAACTCTTTGGTGTCTAAAATATTTTATGAATTCTCTTTTGAACTCCCTCAACATTTTTATTATACAACATAAGACCATTTATTCTGCTTTTCTCAGTTCACCACCACCCCCCTCCCACCCTACTAACGCATCCACCAATCACAGAAAAAGATTATTTCCAGTAGCTGTCTTTTATCTTACGTTTAAGGGACTATGTAATAATGTAGTGCATGCTTAATTTTTCTCTTTGAATTAATTTCCGTTATAATTGTATAAAAGTATGCGCTTTTACAACAATGACACTATATTTTGAGAGCTTCTTCAGTCATTCATTTAGTTATTCTTTTGTTCTATCCCAGCAACAGTTAGACGATTAAAAGATTCTCCTATGCAAGGCATGTTTTTTTTCTCTTGTTCGAACAAAAAACTAGTTAATGAAGCGCTAAATGATCTTCAGATGGTAGATTGAAATAAGTGCGAGCTTTGTTTCTTTTTTGAATATTTATTGAAAACATCCTAATATCGTAAACTAAAATCGACATCTGATCAAGGTGTATTAAGTGTTCTTCACAACCCAATATCATAACATTTTTTCATTTCAATATACAGTAAAATGCCATCGCCAAAAACCACCATTGATATCTTGGATTCAGTCATTCGTTATTTGAATATTTCTGTGGGATTATTTCTTTTTGTATTTGGTATCGCTGGAAATCTTCTCAATATCGTCGTTTTCTCAAGTCTAAAAACATTTCGTAGAAATCCATGTGCTGTCTGTTTACTTGTATTATCATGCTGTGAAAATGGTACCCTAATACTTAATACACTAATAGACGTTCTGGCCAGCATGTTAAACGATACATTTGATGCCAATGCAATATTACCATGCAAAATACGAGCAGCGTTTGCACAAATTTTCGCCACAATATCATTAAGTATGATGTGCTTTTCTGCCATTGATCAGTCAATATCAACATCAATGCCAGAACGGCATCATGGAATCAATCCGAAAATTATGCGGCGATTAATTGCAATTATTACAGTTCTTTCTTGTGTACACGCCATTCCATTTTTTATTTATTATGATATACAACCATTACCAGGGACAAATCTTACAATATGTCGAATCACAGATGCGGGTGAAGTTTTCTCGAAATATTTCATATATATTAATCTACCGCTCGTTAATGGCGTAATTCCTGTAACTATAATGATTTTATTTGGTCTTCTTTCTTCCCGTAACGTTCATCGTATGTACAACAGAAGAATATATATCGTTCGACTTCGCTTAGAAAAACAATTAACAGGGATGGTTTTAGCAAAAATTTTCAGCTTTGCTGTCACTGTAGTTCCGTTCCTTATTGTCTATATTATTCGATATTCAATATCATTATATATCACTGACCCTATCTTCCAAAATCAAATTCTGTTAGCTCAGCGTGTATTTACACTGCTGATTTATGCCAATTATGCAGTGAGTAAAAATGATGTATTTTCATTTTGCGCAGTTCACTCAACTAATATTCTTTTCATTTAAGGATACTTTCTATATTTTTCTTGCATGTTCGGCTCGATTTCGTCGACAACTGAAATTTGTCCTATTCAATATTTATTTACAACAGTACCGTGCAAAGTCAAATATTAATCAAGTTCAACCTATTGACAGAAGCTTTGCCTTAACAATTGATAGTGGTATTGAGCATAAATGATCACGATAACAGTAAACAGTGAAAAAGTTTCGTATTATTTATAATCTATAGTGTTTTTCTCGTGATTGTTATTATTCACTAGTTTACCTGTTTATTATTCGCTTAATAAGATTGATGTTCTTTAGTGGTTTTAGCAAAATGAAAAGTGAGAATAAATAATACAAATTATGATTTCCTACTACACTTAAAATTGGTTAGGATCATAAATGAAATTTTGAATGATGAAGATATTTTTCGAATATTGTGGCATAGTATTACGGATTGATTCATGACTTTTTTTTTCCAAACTTTTAATGAATTAATACATGCTTGATAACAGTTAGAATAAAAACTGCATTACGATCAATTGCAATTAAGAAAAAAATAGCCAAAGCAAAAGAGCTGTAGTGTAAAATTAATTTTTTTCCGTTTTCTTTTACCAAATTCGATCAAGAAAGATAAATAGCGACCATAGATAGATTGGCTTGACAGACAACGTCAAAGTAATTCTTTTTTCCTTGGTAATAGAGGTTGATAATACATCAATATACGTATACAAATCGACCGTTTTGCCAAAGCAGAGTAGGTTTTGTTTATTATTTTTTCCTGAAATTATGGAACACGATACCGAAAATTCTCACAAACTAATTTACAAGGAGAGGGGTGGCAGAATTCTCACAACCAGAATGTAAGAATTCTGTATTCACAGCAGAATTTTACTAGAACTTTGCGTGTCAACTAATCATAAGGAACACAAAATTCTGCTAGAACTTTGCTTGTATTGAACAGCAGAATTCTTGCATTCTGCTAGATGAAAATTCTGCCACTGTTGCGACAGTTGAGACTCGTATCATAAATTTTTCATTGATGTTGACAAAATAAAATGGGTTTGTCTGTTATTATTTTTAAAAAAATTTCCAGTCGACAATATTTTAGTTTAGATATGCATCATTTTCAAAAACCAAATGAACTTTATTAACATATTTTGTTAAAGAAGATTATTTTTGTTACTTTGTATTTGAAAGAAAGAAAAAATACAAAAATGATTATTTAATCGAACTGTCATTTAAATCTCTTTCAAATTCGGAAATACTTCATTAAATTCAAAGGAGATAATAAAGCTTCATCTATTGTCATGATTAGTAATACAAAGAGTTTATTATCAAATGATCATTCATTGAATAAAGTTCATTGAAAAATCCTACCTTACTCAATGGATGTCTCAGGAATCATTACTAAGACGCGTATATTCATCAAGAAAAAAAAGAAGAAGAAATAAGATCGCTTTTTACGAAATTCTAAAGAGGTATAACCTGTCTACGGTGTGCTTATACTCAAAATTATTTTCTTTCTCTTGTTATTCTTTTTTATAGATTTTTTTTCTCTTCTAGATTAAATGTCTAACTATAAGCATTCTATATGTTACAAATAACATAATCATGTTAAAAAGAAGAACCTCCAATCCGACTAATTCTGGAATAAACGGCTTACACGCTTTAATCTTTCCATTGATTTATTCAAAAAATACACACCAACAAAAGAGTAATCGTTGCTATTATTAATATAGTATCAAAAACAAAACAATAAGAACGTGGAATGTGACTGTTCCTATTAAACTTCACTAACACCCCTATATCACACTCTCAATGTTTATCCGATGCTTTGTTCCGAAAAAAAGCGTTGAGTAACGAAATGGCAAGTCATTTGTTCATTTCTCTTGTTCGAAGCAATTAATCAACAGTAAATCCGTCGATAGCGAGTAAATCCACAGCGAGTAAATCGTGTTTACGGGAATAAACACTCGAATAGGTTTATGAAGTTTCTCTTTGATAAATAATAAATTTCGGTGTCGCATTCTATTATTCAATCGAAGAAAAAGATAACAATGTGAGATATATTGTTACATGAATAAAGAAATAATCATCTCTTCTCTATGTTGTCTTTCATCGTATGAAAGTGTCAATCAAAGTCAAAGCGAAATCAACATAAAGATCACGCGTATTGGATATAAATAGGTCGCAAAAGAAAGGAAAAGTATACAGCATAACTAATCGGAAAAAAATGACCATTGAATTAGTTTCACAACGAGAATATCAAATGTTCAATAGTGTTGATCGTCATCATGGGCATATATGGCAAAGTATAAAAAGTTAGAAGAGTTATTCGTTTATTTGAAAAAATTTATTCACATGTGTTTTGTTTTTCATTTCTGTAGATTTATTGAAAAGTTGTTTTGGTGCTCAAACTGACGATTGCTTATTAAATGAAGACGGTTCGCTTATTGACGCAAATCGTCTACGACGAACTATCAGTAATGAGCAACAATCACATAAAAAACGTCATATAACATGGCCTTATCTATTGAACATTTATTCATCATCAATGACCAATTCAGATAAAAGAATCTATCGAAATGGAGCTAAAATTCGCTACAACAAGTAATACATTTATATAATTTAAACGCAACATTTGTATATATTTCTTTCAATCTCATAATAATAAAATAGATTGAAGCGAGCATGGCAAGAGCGCGTTTCTCAAGGAGATTCATTTTATGTAAAACTAGCCGATACAATATTAAAAGATGTTCGGCGTACTGATCGACATATAAAAATTTTCAAAAGTAAAATTATTTTTTCAATCTATTTATTATTTCCAATATTTATTTCCATTGATTTAGAAAAGAAACAACAATTGTTCAACATAATGATGACATATAGTGTCTATCATCCCAGTCCAGGCTATAGTCAAGGTAAACAAATAACTTTTGTTTTTGTCTAATTGTGCACTCAAATTATCGATAGGTATGACTGATATGTTAACTCCAATTTTTTATGTATTAATGAATGAATGCCTGAGTTATTTTGCATTTTGTTCATTAATGACTCGTTATATGAGTTCACTCTTTGATCGGGATCAAACTGAAATTTATCGTCGTATTCGTTTATTTACTTCAATATTTCGTTCGATTGATAATGAACTTTGGAATAAAATACATTTTCATGAAGAAGATAACTTCTATATTTATCGCTGGTTATTACTTGATTGTAAACGAGAATTTTCTCAGTTTGATCATGTTCTTCGTGTACTCGAACTTGTTTGGATTCATACAATGTCTCCGTTGGCTGATTCACAAGCAAAGTCAAATGCTCGATCACTTTTTACAATATTCGTTTGCATATCAATTCTACAAGAAGATCGTCGAATAATTCTGTCGTGCTCAAATGAAGAAGATTTGCATAAATATTTTTTTTCTTCATCATCATCTTCAAGGTCTCATCGTTCAACGAAACGAATTTTACAACGGGCACAATTATATTATTCGAATTACAAAGCATCACAGAAATGAAATCTTTTGCTTTTTTACTTTGCTTTTGAATGAATGTCTTGTTGGGAAATGTAAATAAAAAATAAAGATTCTTTATTGTTTTCGCACAGAAAATGAATCGATGGTATTCAACTTTGATCTAGTCAAACAGAATCAAATAGAACTGCTATTGGTTCGGTGCCGTTGTAGCAAGCGTCCTACGATGTAAGCATCTCATTGCAGATACTTTTGTGACAACTATTTAGAATTCCATAACATGTACTCAAGAAAATCTCGAAGCAAAATGAATGTATTATAGTTACCAAGCGTGCGTCAAATATCGGAAGACCTTTTCATTAAATAATATAAGTTTCATTTGTTTAAGAAAAATAAAATAGAAGCACTCGAGCAAAACCTGGACGAATCTGTGCTGGCGATTGTAATAATAAGCATTATCAATAATCTTTAGAAAGGAAGTGTTTCTATTTCTGGGAGTTCTTGAGCATTTTTTTAACTAAGCAAAATACTTTTTACAGTGAATAACTCGAACGTCGACATTAACAATAGGGTTCAAACTAATGCATCAGTACCAAGAAGAAAAACATTCGTTAATTAGATATTAATCTTCTTGCCAAACTGCATCTACATAAATCAAATAAAAAATAATCTTCGATGGCACTTCAAAAGTGATGCTAGTAAATTATAGAATCATGTAAAATTTAGCAGAAAAGATCTTCGATGTTTTAGACTATTCCTTATTTAATTGCCCTTATCAAAGTTCTTCTTCTGCATGTTTAGTAATTGAATTCGAGGAAGTTCTCTTGCTATTTTGTTCGCAAAGCAAAATCGAAAGCTCTTCATACTCAAAAATACGACCCGAACGTACTCTTTATGGTTAATATCGATTTATAGACTGCCGGATTACTTTCAAGTAATAATCAATCAATTATGAATACGATTAATTTACAAAAGAAACAATTATATTTGAACATATAAGAAGTTCATAGAACTGAAATCTACAATAAAGATAACTTTTTCTGTATTACAAACGTATCTTAATGAACATTACAAGGTTTATTTGTTTCATCACATCTTTTTTTAAATTGAGAACCTTTTTGCTTGTTTATGTATTCAGTGCAAGAACAAAAAAAGTAAGACGTCAACAATTCATCCGAAAACAAAACAACTAGTACGATTACTTAAACACATAGAAATTATAATGAACCTTCTGAATCTCTACGATTCATAAATATATTCGCATTTAAATAGCAGAATAAGAAAAGCAAGCCTATTTTATATTCATATAAACGTAACCACAAGTCCTTATTTTTTATTGTCACACTATTAAACGATGACACTGATTAAAACTTATCACGTTGTATTGGACGAAAAATACGTAATACGTAGTTGGCAATGATAGCAATCATAGCGATGAATAGAAAAATCTAAATAAAAAAAGATTCAAAAATCATACATGTTGAAAAACAATAAAATCTTACCGCTGATGCAACAGCAGCAGCTATATTGCCCCAACTACTACCGCCTCCCACCTTAGTATCATACCCTTTTTTTGCCCATGCTGATGAACAACATCTATTGATTAGAACGAAAGCAAATGTATAAAAAAATTATTTTCACCGAATACTTGTCATACCCGAGAATAAGTAAGACAACAGCCATGACAAACATAGTAATCATAAACTTATTGTTAAAGAAAAATTATTATTTCATAATTTATTTTTATTTTTTTCGCTTACAATTAAATCAAATATTTTTGGTAAACGTTTAATAACACCAGTCGTATAGACAATAATATCCACAAGAACAAGAAAAAGTACAATCACCGCAAAAGCCAGAATTGAATTGCGTGTATCATAGGCACTAATTTTGACGCTGGAAAGACCTGCGAGACCATCCGTTAAACGTGTTGTATCAGAATTAGCTAGGCCAGCGCTAATCAATACACAAACAAGTGCAATCTATAATATTCTCATAATTATAAAATAAGTTGCCAATTCAAACAAAAATTACTTGCCACTGCTACAAGATTTAATATTCCATAAATAGTTCGAAAAAAAGCAACAACAGTAGTACATTTTGCACCCACGAAGCTTTTAACTTGATTTACTGGCTTTGATGCGTATGTTTCATAACGTGACGACTGAATAGGAGACGACGGAGGAACGTTTTCTCCATGATTTTCTACATCGATAGTGCTCATTGTAAATAATTTTAGATCAATCTATCTAAAATGAAGACAATAAACTTCATATAAGTTTTATCAACACCAAATAATTCTCAGAAAAAAATACACCAAGAGAGAACCGGGTCATTGAGTTCACTTTGAGATTGAATGTCTCGAGAAAGACATGTTCATTTTAGTTGAAACTTTCACAATTATAAAATCATTATCAAACGTGTTTACAAAGAAATTATTATTTCACATGCGTTTGCGTTGAACTCTGAGAAAAACTCTTCTGATTTTCAATAAAACCAGTTTCTCTCCGAATTCTTTTCATCTTCTAGTGTTACTATGATCAATTCGTTTTTATAATAGGAAGCAAAACATTATTTGATATTTGAATATGCTTGCATTTATATTATAATTAAACTCCTGGGTACACCTTGTGTAGTTTTTTAGCTTAGAGAAGATCTTAACAAAAATTACTTACTCTTTGTTCTCTTTCACTATCGAACAGTTTTTTAAAAAATGCATAGATTTCAGTCCCATTTGCTTATATAGGTTATATCTCGATATATTTATTGATGTTCTCGCCCGCTGTGCTTCGCTTCGTTGATCATTGACATGTCGTATAGAATAAAGACAACAGAGAGTGATAAAAAAAAAAACTTCACGAACGCAATCAATATGCCGAATAAAAAAGAAAAGAAAGGAAATGACTAATATTAAAATTACAACATTGATGATAGGCAGAACTCGACGTTGCAAATTTATTGAAAAGATCTCATCGTATGTAACATTAAACATAAGAACACAGGATGCAACACATCTTATTATGCAAGCGGGAAAACATAATGATTGGTAAATATTGAATTTTTTTTACTTGACAAGTCATTTTATTATCCTTTTCTATGATAGATACCTGTGTATTTAGTCATAGAAGTGTACTTTATCCGATATGAATCATCAACTATGAATGAGTCTTTCCTTAAATTTGATTAACTAAATATATTCATACGCCTATCAATCTGAAATGTATTAATGTCGGCTATTTCAAATGAGGAAGTGATTGTGCAATGGTAATTTTTCTCTCGTCTTCAAAAGCAAACTATTGAACGAAAAATATTTTTTATTTTCAAGTGTAAAAACAAGATTTCAATGTTACATATATTTAAATTCGGTAATAACAGCTATGCAATGAAAAGAACTTCGTACGATGCAATATATTTTATAATTAACCAGTGATTTTCTAGTAGAAACATTAGTACTTTATGGAAATTAAAAATTCTGATTTTTTTCTCGAATGCGATTGCCTTGAAAAATGAAGCGATGTTGTTTACATGCAGCAAAATCGATTTGACATTGATTTTCATGCTGTCGTCGATCGATTTAGCAAAATAATATAGTCTTTAGACGTTAGTCGACCTTTGCTGAAATATTTTTACCTATAACGATTATTTAAGAGAGCCAGAATGACATAAACTATATGAATGTATTTCTATCAACAACAAAAAAACAACTATTTTCAGTCATTTTTATGTCATTGGGATTGATTTTACTAAAAGTTTTGAGTATTAGTTTTCATCTATAAAAATTTTATATTTTTCTTTGAAATATCATCGTTTATCAGAGGCCAATATCTGAGTGAGTCGGAAGTATAAAAAGATTTAAGGTAGTAATTAGCGAATAACTTACTAAAATTTAAATCATAAATTATTTTGGCCAATCAATATTGAAGAGAATTGTAGGGAAGTCTATTTATAATTCATCGTAAAATGGAGTTTTTTTTCAGTTTGGCATTTTCTCTTATCATATGAGTAGGAAACAAAACAATGAAAGATCAAATAGAAAGGTTATCACCCCTTGATATATTTTTCCTGTCAAAAATCTCATTAAAGATATTCCTCTGGCATTGGTCGTTTAAAAGTTGAATTTGTGTACGACAAGAAAAACTTGAAGTCTGAATTTTTATATTGTTCAAATCGCGTAGGAATTCATAGTTTAGCCTTTGCATCGCAATTTTTCAATTTATCCTCATTCGATAAAAAATGATGTCAAAATGCACAGATATGAGCAATTTATCTGTCGTACAAAAAATAATCTGATTATGATCATTCAAAAATAAACAAGTTCTAATATTCTGCTTGTGTCACACGATTATTATCTTGCCTCTGCAGGTATCATTGTTTATTCTAATAATGCTGTGCAATTGATTGACACGAAAATATGGAAGAAACTTGTGTTTTTTTGCCTTTTTAGTGTATTAAATAATTATAATTTTCCAGATATATAAATAAGAGAAGACGAAATCTATTCTCTAATATATGTTCATTGTGCGTGCATGAAACGGTATTTGAAGTAAACACGTATACAATCATATCTAATGTATCATCATGTTGACAAGCTACACTCAATCTATACATGTTTTATAGTCGATATCATGCGCATGACATCAATTATGATATTCCAGCCATAACTACATACAGATCAATTTATTTCCTTCCGTCGTCTCTTCTCTGCCCATGCCATAACCATTACTGTTATTTGCTTGTTAGCCGTTTTGTCTTTGATGATAATAAGAGTTCTGCATTTTCCCTTGTCTTTCGCATCCCTTACCCACTCGTTCTACTTTTTAGATAATTACATTAAAATCAAGAGGAAGCAACAGATATGTCTTTTTAATCTTCGTTTTTCATATGCTTCGATATAGATTTAATTGTTTGATAAAAGATACTATTTACTGATCATGAAACTTTTATGATGGAAAACATCTACACAAAAAAATAGCATTCAATTACTAAAGACTCTTTTAAACCATTTCTCTACTAGTTACTTATTAATTTTCTTGTGAGAAAAATGGATATGTTATTTAAAAATTATTTTCTATAAACTATAAAAAAAGAAAGAATAAATCTAAGAAACAGCTTGAGTTTTTGAATGATTTTCAGGAATATTCTTTGAGCCCACTGTCAATCTGTCTTGTTCACAATATTATTCTGATTGTCATGTCTCAGTTCTTTCATCAAAATAAGCAACGAACATTTTGCTAGTACAAAAGGAAGATCAAGGGATTGTCTTAAGAACGTAGAAACATGTTTTGACGACTTCTCACAGATAAAATAAAATTTTTGTAATAGCTTAGTTCTTTTGAAATGACTAACACGCAAGTATAAATAATTGTATATATAAACTACTTGTGGAAAGAATTCAGCATTCGGAAAAACTTTGCAACTTTAACTCTTTAGATTACTTTGATCTGAGATTTCTGAGTTGACTTTCGTTTTATCAAAGTTACTCAGAACTCAAAACAGTGATGAATTACTGATAGCAGGCTATTTTAAAAAAAAAATATATTCATGTATATTCTCTTTTATATTGAACATTTTATCGCTCAATGGTAAAATTGCATTTTGTTTGAAATATTCCTCCGAAAAAGACAGAATACAAACGTAGTTCAAGAACGCCGATAGAGTAGCAGCTGTTTATTCAAATAATAGAGTCATAAGATTATTGAGATATTGAGTTCGTCGTTATCTGTACACATTAAGACAGGCACTGATAATAGAGAATATATGCGACCCCAACGTTTACACGAAAGCTACTTTGCTCTAGGCTATTCAAATAAATGTTTGATTAACTTGTAGAAACACGAAAGATTATGTTATACGTATAGCATTAAAAAAGACCTCATTTGCAAAAAATATTTGCATCGAACAATACACTAGTTTTCTATATAAAGCTAACAGCAAGGATTTAGACCGATCGAAAATGCTTGAAATATTGGTTCTATTGTTTGATGAGCGCGGGCCGATCAGCATTTACTATTTAGTTCTGTACACATGACAATGCCATATACGGAATACTATTGTGGTCTCCATACAGTCATGTGCAACAATAACAAATTAAGAAAAATACATAATGTAAACCTATCTTTCTATCGATCTATAATCGCGTATTTTGTTGATTTATCATATATTTCATACAGGGTTACCAAATTCAAATTTTGAAAATCAGGGTTTTTTTGTAAAAAATCAGGAGTTTTTCAGGAGAATTGTTTTCCTAAATCAGGAGAAATATCAGGAGTCTTTTCTGTTGATATTTAAGTCACATCCGTTTTTAATGAAACATTATGAACCAGTTACAAATAATTTCCCAGATGGACTATATCCATATGTTCGTGTTGTATCCTTACATGATGAATATCCTTTTGAACATGAATTTTTTAGTCGAATTGTTCAATCATTTCCATTTATGCAAAAATTATCTATCGCTAATCGTCACGGACAAAATCATAAACAATCATATAAATTAATGAATGATCACCAGAATTTATCAATTATTAAATATAATTGTCTTGATTAGATGCGTTCCGAGAATATCCCCGAAAACTCGATTAACTGCTAGGGAACAAACTGTAGCAGATATAACAGACATATAGCTTATAGGGGGTCTAGGTAGGAGGGGGTGGGTCTTTGAGTCTAGGGGTTTATAGGAGATAAAGGAGTTATAGGAGTCAGAAATGCCAGCCTGCTTGCCTGCCAGGCCAGGCTGATTTTTCACATTTTAGTCTGGCCTGCATCAGACCAGGCAAATAACAGCCGGGTCAGGCTAACCTGTGTAGCCTGCTTAAAATTGACTTGGAATGATTTTATCTGCTGAATTCGGTATTACCCATGTAGTCGATAATGTAAAATAATGGACATTATTTTCCATTATTTTCTTAAATAATGTGCATAACGTAATTAAAATTCAACCTTTTTCATGCACTATCTTCCAAATAATGGGAAAATTTTCCAATAATCCATTGTTTTTTTGTATGAATTAATTGAAATTTTACCATTATTTCCCTGCAATGCATTATAATGCATGAAAATTTAAAAATATAAAGGAATCTAATTAATTAAAAATTTTCACGCCTTCAATGCATTAGATTTCATTATAGTTTTAAATTTTTATGCATTATAATGCATTGCAGGGAAATAATGGTAAAATTTTAAATAATTCATAAAAAACAATGGATTATTGGAAAATTTTCCCATTATTTGGATGATAATGCCTGAACTAGGTTGCATTTTAATTACATTATGCACATTATTTATGAATATAATGGAAAATAATATCCAAGGTTTTACACTATCGGCTACATGGGTAGGTATCGTCATAGTCCATTTGCAGATTCAGAAAAAAGAAAGCGAATAATGATTGGATTTGATTTATTCCCACGATTTTCACTAAAGGTGCAATAAAAGAGCTAAATCAAAGAAACGAATACAAAGCAGTCAATGCATTTTAATCTTTTATTACTTTATAACATAGTTCATATTTATAAATTGTCGAATGGTGGTTGCTTGTTATGTGAAATGCTAGTGGTGTTAATTCAGAGAGTTTTTATTTTCTAAAACATAAAACAACTTTTTTCTATTATTACTATTAAGAAAAGAAAGAAATAATCACGTTAAACCTCGACATCATGACTAAAAATTTAACCTAATGAATATGTTATAAAAATACAAATGACGTTTTTGGTTTCATGTATGCCTGCAGGACAGGCTAGGCCAGGCCGGAGAAAAGTGGCCTGTTGGCATCTCTGATAGGAGATATAGAAGACAGGAGTGTAAGTAGGGGGCAGGGGGTGTAACGCCCCCCGCTTCCGAAAATGAATAGGAAAAAAGCGGTTTACGTCCGCCGGCTGCTTCCAAAAGTTAATTTCTTCAGGTCATGACAACAGAAAAATTAAACTTACAGCCTCCCTACTCTAAGACCTGACTTACGCCCCTGATAGGAGATATTCGAGATCGATAAACAACGAACAAGGCTTCAAAAATAAATATTGAAAAAAATACGAGCAAGGCTCAAAAAATAAATATTGATATCAGTAATATCTGTGAAAGAAAATTTTATTTTAGTTGAGAAATAATTAATTAAAATTAAGAGATGAAAGAGAAGAAATATGTATCTCCTATATCTCCTATAACTCTATATCTGCTAGGCCTGGTTTCCTAGCACTTAATCGAGTTTCCGGGGATATTTTCTGAACGCACCATATGCTGAATGTAGTGAATATAGATTTGAGTGGATAATAATTTTTCAGAAATATATCCTTTTGCTTTTGAAATGTTAGCTTTCTATCGCATACTCATGAAATTATTTGGAAGCTAATTGTGACGAATGATTAAGTATGCGAGAAGTGACATCAATTTGGAATGTTTATATCTTTATATACGAAAAGCAGTTAATTAATTCTTTTAGCTAAAGGAAAAAACGATTATCATTGTCTCATACATAATAAGGAACCCATCAAAACGCGATATTTTTGTATGCAGCCATTCATATATTTAGAAAAACTAGGTTTCATTATTGTTTTATTTTATTTATATTTTACACTATAGAGTTTTGCTACAGAAATAGTATTCGCTCGATGTTTAACATTAAATGAGCGATACGAGTCTGTCGGATCGACAATTCCAAGTATAACAATAATCTCTCAACAGCTGAAATTCCATGCCAATTAATGCTTCGACTGACTCGAAAGACACAATTACTGTGTTAAATATTTTTATTTCTGCTTCCCATTATGCGTTGTTTCGCTATTGTATACGTTCATGCAGGTAGGTATAAGTATGCCTTGTGCACTCTCAAGATTGGTAACATTACTCGCACCGATTTAGAACACTTGATAGCATTGAAATCATTAGCTGTTACTTATCTGATGTAAGCTGAATACCAAAATTATAATTTTCTAGCACAAAGCACATCTTATAAAGTATGAACATATTCTAAGTTCGTTGTCAGTTATGATTGTTTGTCAATTCCATTTTTAATTTTTAAAATCCAAACATAATTTACGAATATTTTTAAAATCTTTGATAGATCTTGATGATATCAAATTGTCATTATTAAAAGTCAAAAAAAAAGAGCATCAAGTCAGTCGTTATATCGCAAGGAATGTAATATTAACAGCAAAATTGGAGAAACTACAGATTTATTTTTAGTGTTGTTGGAGTTACTATCTCATATGAAAATTCAATCTACTTTGATAGTTACGGGCGTGTCATTATCGAATGAGAGCATGCCAAAACAGTGTAATTACAGATTGTGCATATCTTTTACGTTGATAAATAATAAATAAAAAGGCAGATCAATTTGTGACGGATTCCATCCATCACGACTCCTTCAAGAGTGCATGTACTCATTAATCACTCTTATCATCTAATCATTAGTTTAAACTTGCTTTTATCTTCTCTTCTTCTTCACTGTTTATATTATTCGTATCAGCATTTGTTACTCGAAAAAGCATTCATTCTGAATAAAAGGAGGAACGAACAAGTCGTTCCGTCACACAATTATCGAAAGATTTTTATTATTCTTTAAGACTGAACAAAAAACGGCATAATATGCGTATGAGAAACGTTAATATTTCGTTCAACATTGCAACACGCAAAAAAATACTATTTCAACAATTGTGTAGTCCAATCAAGATTAGCGTCATCTATATCATATTTATTAATGAAACTTAATATCTTGTAGCATTTCTCTTATCTACTATATTTTTAGCTCAACTCAGCTAAAAATGTCTTCCTATTTTTATGTGTATACGCCAAGTGTATGGTATAGAAATAAATCTTGAATAGTATACATCAATTCGTTACAGTAGACCACACATCATACCCTACAGCATATACGTCATGTATATATATACATAGAGATAGAGATATTCATTCGTCGAGCAAACGTACATCCTATGATAGTCTTTTCCGCTTTTTTTTCTCTTTGGCACGATCTCATAGAGAACTCGAGGAAAAAAGAAACTAATATAAATCAACGGTATCTATTTTCTCAAACGAAGATTTTATAATCGGCAACACATTACTCGCTATATCTGTCATCAAAACTCTTATTACTATTTATTTAGCATGGCACCATGCATAGAGGTGAATTTAACTGACGTGGATTTATATTATGTAAATAAAATTCAATCTGAAAATAAAAATTGGGCATGGTGGTTAAATAATCTTGGTGAGATATTGAGAACATATTCCGAATTTCAAGTTTGTTTGATTTTCTAGGAACACTAGTTGTATTCATAATTGGTTTTTTTGGTAACATATTATGTTTACTGGTCCTGTGTCGTCGGCGTAAGTTTAATGAATGTCTCGAAAAACTTTGATGCAATCGATTTAATTTTTAGGTCTGAGACGAAATTCTTACACTCAATATTTAATTGTCTTAGCTATTGTTGATACTGGAGCCATTTTTGCGGAAGGCATGTGAAAGAAAATCGAAAAAAACGTATTTATCTAAATCAACACTCGATTTATTTTAGTTATTTCTGCACTTGATGAATTGCATCAATTTGAGTACAAATTAACACTCATTGCACATACTAACGCATCATGCAAATTATATAATTATATAAGATATATATTTTATTCTATGAGCTCTTGGTGAGATATTAATATCTTTCACAAAAAGATTTATATGAGACACTATTTACTTTCCTAGGATTGTCGTAGCTTTAGCTATTGAACGTGTAATTGCAATAAAATTTCCCTTATGGTCCAAAACTATTTGCACTGTTGTTAATGCTCGTCGTATTATATTGATAATCCTTCTGTTTACAATGTTTATTCAATCTTATCATTTGATAATAAAAGGTCTTGATTGTTCCCCATCCGTATCATCAACTAGAGTTTGCCGCTGTAAAACAATACGCCATCATACATATCTAAAATTGGATATCATTTTTACAGTCTATGTTTGGCGACTTTTTCTAATGACATTATTACCTTCAGCAATGATTATAACTGCCAATATACTTATAATGAATAAATTGTTTCATGAAGGTTCATTACTCGATCATACAAATGTAATTGATAATGCCCAACATAAAATGAAAGTGTTGTATAAAATATCGCGAATGTTAGTGATAGTAACATCAATTTATCTTCTGTTACATGTACCTGGCTCGAGTTTAGATATAATTAAATATATGTATATATCTGTTTTCAAAATGTGTAATGTTAAATGGAAATATTATATTTATATGAGCCATGAAATATTTGATTTGCTAACAAATTTCAATTATGGCATTAATTTTTATTTGTATATCATTAGTGGTAAGCATATTCGAAATGAACTAGTACGTGCCGTTAAACATTCACCGTTACGTTCAAAATCCAGTGTAGAAAACTATAATTATCGACGTTCAAGTTGTTTCATGTCATCTTCCGTGCTTTCCTCAAGAAATCATCAAGCGAGATATTCAAATGTACCACTATCGGAGTGGCGAAATGGCTCGTGCCAACAACGACTTCCTTTGTGTGACGAACATCAATAAGGAATTTATTCATGTTCAAACTATTTGTAAGATAAATTAAAAGAAAGAATGTATTGAACAAATGGATCTCAATTAAAATATTTGTTGTGATCTATATAAAATTTTCTTTTGCCATATGTTTGTTGCTTGTTACGACCTTTCGTCAAAGAATTTTCTCATCACATGATGACAATTATTGATCGACAAAAGGGCAGAAAATATATTCAATAGTTATATAGGATAAATGTCAACAGAAAATAGTAATTACATCATTTGTGATTCAGTGTTTGTACAAAATTACTCTTGCGTCCGTTTCAGTGATAAAACATCTATAGAAGCACATAAAAAACTTACAATAACAGCTGGACAAGAATACCGAGTGCGCGTTTTAGAAAATGTTATAGAGAAATTTTTTATTTACATTTTTGTTACATATCTATCATTTGGATCATTACCATCTAATCGTTGTCCGAAAATAATCTTGTCATAAAACATCTTAGTAATACAAATTCCTGAGGAAAGGTCATTATGCTAACATGGGCAGAAACGGTATTATCACAATTTTATGCATCAAAATAGTAGATTTCTATTAAAACCATGTTTGTATAGATGTTATATGCTTAAGAGAGCTAATATATGAATCTGAATGATTTCTAATTCTCTACTATTTTCTCGAAATTCCCTGTAGGGCTCTATTGAAAATGAATGTTTCCAGGAGTCTATTTTTATTGATACTATTGTAATGCCATATTTCCACATATGTGAATAGGACCTAGTTTAGGTTAAATTCATATTTAACTATGAAGAATTTTAATCAAATTGCATCACTATAGCTTTATTAACTTTAGATTGAATATGCGCAAATTGGTACACATGCATATGGGAAAAGGTGCCTTCAGTCATATAATTTTATGACTAGGAAAAATTCAGTATTCGAACCAAGTGAAACTTGAATAATATTATGAGGGTTACTATTTTCAGGAGAATAATCTTGTAGAACATTTTCTTTTTGAAGTGATTCATCTGTGATGATGGGATTGGTTCAAAAGTATACAACTTGATAGAGGATCAAGCTTTGAGTCTGATGTAACAACCAGGAAGCTCGTAGAAATTTGAACGAGATCGAAAGCCAAGTGGAGAATTCAATTACTGTTCAACCTGGAGATTTTCTAAGATAAATTACAATATAATTGTACAATGTCGCATTGTAATACTATAGCCTTTTGAACGAAAAACATATCCTGCTTCTTTGAAACTTGCATACATTTTATTTTTAACAACGATAATAATGAAAACAAAGTAATCGCTGGCTTATAAATTTTCTTCTCATATAAATATATCTAAACTTTATTCTAAAGCAAAAACAACAAATTTTATTTAATGTGGCTTTGGTTTATGACCGTCGACATAATAGTTTCGAGTTGCTTGTGGTAAAGTAAATTCTGCCCCTTCAAGATTCTTTTTTAGAACAATTTGACAACCTAAAATAAAATAAATCATTTGCAGATACCTAATAAATACAATGTTTGACTAATCAAATTATTATTCGTACCTAATCGTGAATTATCTTTTAAAAACGCAGCTAAATCCAGTTGATCTTCTTCTCTACAAAAGAAAAAAGAATCGTAATAGAAATATATTCATTAAAATAGTTCATTTAACAAGAAAATAAAAAATGAAAAAGATAATTTAATTAGATTGTAAATAAAATCAAGAGATTATGAATTTTATAGTCGTACTCATATATATATACAAGTGCTGTAGAAAATTTAGAAACACGGCTACTAATCACATTAGTGTGAGTATAACAATCGCGATTTATTTTTTCACTCACTCTTCTTTTGGTTCGGGTAATTTATCAAGATATTCTTCTTTTACATAAACATGGCAAGTCGAACAAGCTAACGATGCTTCGCAAGCACCTAAAATTCAACATGTAAAAAGAAGGAAGTTAACAAATAGGTTTGATCCATCAAAAGAAAAAGAGACTCATCAATAATTGCTAACCTTCTATTTCTACACCATAACGATGTCCCAAATATAGAAGATTATCACCAACTTTACCACGTAAAGGAACATGTTTGCCATCTTTATTAATAAAACTAATATTTACAACTTCATCTTCTGATTTTGGATCTTGCCATTCGTATTCACCATGATGTCGCACAGCTGTAAATAAGAATATATATCTGTATGCCAATAGAGCAAAATATATGATTGAAAAACGCCGAAAAGATATAACCAAAATATTGCTCACTATTTTTATCCAAAAAATAATGCTGTAATTTAAAAAAATCTTGTATCATAAGAAACAAAACAAATAATATGCTGGTCGAACTCTAAGAATAACCAATTTTCATTAAATGCAGTGAACTTCAATTCTGTATATTTCTAATTATCCTTTATGAGATGATACGAACTGTAAAACATCAGTACGACACAGAGATGTCCACAGGGCAGGGTTACCATGCCCTGTGCTCTGCAGGGTAAAAATTCAGTTGTTTGAATTTCAGTTTTGAAGAAATACTTTTAGTTTCGAAGTATCAAAAATAAAAATAGGCTTCAGAGAGCGACAGCAACTGGTAAGCAGAACTTCCGATTTATATTGACCACCGTATGAACACGATAGAATCAAGATAATTATAAATAGTGACCATACAAAACGTAGGATATCTTAAGTAAAAATGGGAAATTCGAATATTTTCAGAATGGATTACTCCAAAGGACTACCGAACAAGGACAAACTACTTTCCGAGTAGAACTCGCTGAGCTTTATTCAGCCCAGATATCAATCGTACTCAAAATCTTCCTAAAAAAGCTGAAAGTCACAAAAAACATAAAAGACTCAACCAATGTTGTTAAATCCCGTCGCGATTGGGCAGGAAGAATTTTTCAACATAGTCACAGTGACTTTCAGTCGATAGAGCAGGTAAAAATCTGTTTAGGAACCACCGTGGCTACCTCGGGAAGTTGCTATTGCGCAATCACGAAGGATTTAGCAAAATCCCTAGGAATTTGAACTTAATTTCTATGGGTCGGGAATGTCAAACCGAGTTCAAAATGTGTCTAATCGATAGAGTACGGCAAGATCTATATGGAAAATAGTATGAGCCATTGTAACGTTCTTCTGGGCGAATCACTATGGATTTTACCAAAATTGGTTCAGTTTCGTATGGTTTTTCTGGATTTTAGCTTTCTGCCAGGTAGTTTTTCAGTAGAATTCATATACGGGCTGGATAGATCCTGTCATGTTCTGCCTCAGAAGTATTTTGTCTATTTTAGAAAGTTGTTTGGAACGAATTCATTCAGGAAATACTCGGATCCAGTTCAAAGACATTCTCTGTATGTCAGCTGAGAAGGGTACCCTGCCCTGCCCTGGCCAGGATACAGGGCAGGATCAGGGTACATTTTAATTTTTTTCAACAGGGCAGCGCACAAAAAATCACCCTGTGGACATCTCTGGTACGACACATTCGTGGCCAATCTACCGGTTGTGCGCAGTAGTTTCATTATTTTTTACCATTATTTCACAGATCATCCGTTTTCCTTTCGATGTTTTTCCTTCCATCATGGCTGGCTCTATGGTTTATAGTCTACCTGTTATTAAGGGATTTTTATGTAGTCGATTTGTTGTACGGAGAGAAGAAATTATCGTACGGCATATTATATTCATATTTTACTAATATCTTGAAACAGAAAAAAAAGAAGTTCATCTATATTCTTTTCTGATAGGTTAACTTGAAAACAATCATTTTACAAAATCTACATAAGAAAATGTTGTCGAAATGCAACATTCTGTTAATATAAGCAGTAGGAAGCAAAAAAAAACAAGAAAAAAAAATTCACAGCATTATCCAATGTCGATCAAAGGTACATGTTCTTCGCGAAAATGGCACGTGAAAGATCGGGAACAAAAAAAAGAAATGAAAGTTTTATTTCTTTTTTTTTTCAAAATAATATTTAATTTAGTTATTAAACAGATTGTTGTTTAATATCAACTGTTGTCGTTTGATCCGATGACTGGTTGTCATTATCAATTTGTTGTGCGGGCTTTATTGTTGTTATTGCATTGTTATTATTATTGTTAGTAGTAGGTTTTTGTGAAGCATTTAAGATTTGTTGCAATTGAGCTGCTGTTATCGTAATCTTGAAAAATAAAAACGATAATCTCTTTATTTTTGCATAAATCAAGATAAAATCTTACATGAGCCGATGCAGGTTGGCGTTGTTGTGATTGCGTGGCATTGGGTGTTGTTGACACATGAAGGCTTCGTCCTGATGCACTCATTTGTTGTGATGGGTGCATATTCTAGAAAGAAATATTGAAAATAAACATTGCAATAACAATCTAAGTTTCATACTTCAGATACATGTGGTGCAGCGATTTGAATATACTGAGTAGGTGCTTGCATTTGATTTGCTTGAGATAAAACTGCATACTGTTGGCCAGAGTTCTATAAATAGAATAAAATCATAATAGAATATATTGTCGCTCATAACTACGATCAACTGTAAAGAAAAAGCTATGCGATTTTTACAGTATTTCATTCGATATAAATGTATGAAGTATTCACTTTAGTGAAAATGTATAATTCAACATGGATCTTTTCATTTTAATCACAATGACGGAACCTTTTAGACGCTAGATTAAAGTAGCTACCTGAAAACGTTGACTGTCATTTGAATGCGTGTATATAATGATAATCCCTGATCGCAAGTAGCAAAACAGTTTACTTGTGCATGAATGAGGGCAGAAATGAATATAGCTCTTGGAATAGTAGGATTATAAAAAGAAAACTCTAATAGAGCGCATTGTTTTAATAGCATTATTTTTCATTAGAATAGTAGATTGATGCTCGCGATCAGAACTTGGCATCACTCTCACGTCGTACAGTAACTATCGTAAGAATATTAGTATTGCACAATAATCACCTACATATGCTCAGAACTCTATATAATTGAAAATCTGATAAAGAATACTAATTAAGGTTGATACAGTGATTAATCTTGTTATCTACGTATTTACTATAGGTATTATATGAACTGTTGCCTATGATAATACACTTACACCAATAGTGACAAGTGGCGATTGTATCGTTGATGATAATTGAATAACTTGTCCGTCTTATTACAAACAATATGAACGAAGACAAATACAAATAAAATCTTACTAGGTAATTGAATAGCACTAGGTTGGTTTGCCTGTGGAAGTGTGACAATATATTGTACTTCACCCATATTATTTTCCTAAATAGAATCGATAAATTTTATGTTTTTTTGCTATTACATAAATCTACATGTTTTTTATGGGGTTTCGATTCTTCTCGTGGTACGATATCAATTAAAAAATCGAATTGTTCATATTTCGTAATTGCCATAGCAACATCGTTTCTCTATTTCAATCACAGAAAACATAATTTAAAAGAAAATAAAGATTGTTCTCTTGTAAACCTGTAATGTTCGTCGTTTACTTTCTTCTGTATGAATCCACGAGCGTAGTGTTAACTCATGAATAAATATCTCTGCTGCTTTGGCAAAAAGTATTGGTACTTCAGCACTAATCATTTTAACATCATCATCTAATTTCATGATCTTTTTAATACGCGCCAATGGTAATTCACTTGCACGAAAATCCATCTTAAATCAAAAATTCTTATTTTCTGTCTTTCTCTACTATTTCCACTAATTAAACATACGATATTTATAGAATCAATTTCAGCACGTGTCTCTGACCAAAGGCGTTCAAGCATTTCCGTTCCCTCTGTTGGTTGTGATATTTCAGTTTTTTCATTTGACGATGTATGCGTCATTTTTATTTTTATCTAGAATACATTCAGAGAAATATAATTCACAATATACACTAACATATACGCATCAAGAACATGTATATATATATATGCATATACACAAGGAAAAAATAGAGATAGTTTCTGGGTGGTTTTTACATAAAAGACTTTTACACGAAGTAAGATATCTGAGCATTGCACAAAACAAATCGAATAGTATGTTGCATTTATTTAAGGGCCGATTGTATATTGCTGTTGAGTACCTTGTGGACTCTGAAAACAGAAAAAAAATGAATTTAGTCATCTATAACAACTATTAGAAAATAGCGTAGATATTCAATAATGTCTATGACGGTCTCTATCAACACTTATTTCAAAATTCAACTTACTGCCATAGTGACAATGTTCGATGATAAATTTTGAGGTAATTGAATGATTTGACCATCTAAAATAGAATATAAATTTTATAAGAATTTTCTCGAGAAACAAAATGATTTACTTGGCAATTGAATAGTATTGCCCATGCCAGATGATGATGGTAATGTAACAATATACTGTACTTCGCTAACAGCTTCCTTTTTCTTATGTGTTCGTGTTGCTTCTTCACGTGGAACAATATCGATGAGAAAATCGAATAGTTCATTTTTTGATATAGCTGCAGCAACATCATTTCTCTATTAAAATTGCAGAAAAAAATACGGATATATAAAAGCAGATCATGTTTGCTGTTAAACCTGTAATGTACGACGGCGGCTCTCCTCTGTTTGTAACCAAGAATGAATTGTTAATTCTTGAATGAATAATTCAGCCGCTTTAGCAAATAGTATTGGTACTTCAGCGCTAATCATTTTAACATCATCGTCTAATTTCATAATTTTTTTTATACGAGCTAACGGCAAATCTGTTGTACGAAATTCAACCTAGAAATAGAGCCATAAAGATTAGGACAAAGTTTATTGAAAATGAGTTAAATCGGTCGATACTAAGAGGAATTTGTTTTCCCCATATATAAAGATATTTGAAAAGAAAATCTCCACTTACAATATTAATATCATCTATTTCATGTTTAATTTCAGCCCAATATTTATCCAGCATCTCTTTACCAGCCGATGGTTCAATATTTTCAGCTTCAGCTTTTGACGAATTCATTTTTCTTCAATGAAATATTCTGTTGTTGTTTTTTTCTGTATCTAGAATACAAACCAAAGAAAAGAAAACCACGAATTTTTCTTATATTATTCTTTTTCTACAACTATTTTTTATAAATAATTTTTTTCGCTTTAAGAATCAATTAACAAAACATAAACAATAGAATTTTAACAATTGCACGTATACACACCAGTCCCATGTTGAATGGGAAACAATTTTGTTTTCCGTTTTCACGAACTGTTCTTATTTACATGAACTAGAATGAGTGATTACTTTTAACTTCATCGATATCGTTTACTTGTCCAGGTAACAAATCGGGACGCATTCTTTCTCTATCATCTATTGGACTAGTACTAAATAACAGATCATCACGACTGCGTGCCAGAGGACAACATAACGGATCAGAATTCATTGAGCCAACGGACGCTGAATTTGCGCATCCATAAAAAGATTTTTCTAGTGGAATTTCATCACAAACCATTAATAGATTAGATGATGAAGAATATTTCTAAGTAAAAAAATAAATAAAAAGAACTTGATAAAAGTTTCAAGCACAGCAAGTTACTTTAGGTGATTGAACTATTTCACGTTGATTACTATGATTATAATTTCGAAGAATATTAGCGAAGGCTCGCATTTCTTTTGGATACGGTGTTGGATTTCGCACAAGTTGTCGCTGAAAATAAAAAGATGTTGGAAAATAAAAAGAGCAACTATTGAATGTTTACTGGCTCGTCAATCGTATCATTAGCAAAACGAAGCGTTGTTGGACGATTAGTATAATCAATTGTTTGTTCGGCAATAAATCGACTTTCTAGAAGTCGGAAATTTTCCTCATAAAATGAATTCATAATAGAAAAATTGATTCATACTTGATGTATTTCGATTCATTGAAGGATCAGTTTGTGGTAATAGTATACATGTGAGTACACGTTGGCCAGTTGTTGGATGGCGTTCTTGTTCGAAAGCAATTAAAGGTTTTGCCTAGAAAAACAAAAAACATTATCAAATATCAGTCTGATTTCAAAAGGTGACAAAAATAAAATTTGCCGTTTGATTACAAATGGAAAATAGTAAAAATAAAATTCATCGTTAAGACTAACTACAATTCGTTGGCTATTTAGCCAACACCAGGACCACTCAATGTTTGAATTATAAAAAAAAACATTTTCATAGTCGCGAATGAATTCAATAGTTATTGAAATGCTTCCATAATCAAACTTACTTGATTTTCATTCATCCATAATGCTTGTAATTTTTTAAGTTTTAACAACGTACACGGTAAATATCGAAGAAAATTTCCTATTGACATCAAATAAATATTTTTTTAATACACAAATAGTCTTACCGCTAACGTTAAGAACTTTCAATGAAGATAAACGGCCGATTTCATCTGGTAAACTTGCTAAACAGTTTGAGCGTAACGAAAGTATACTTAAACTTGAACAGCTACCAATCTATTTAGTAAAACAATAGAAACACTTCTTCCAAAAACATATTCTTACAGTTGCTGGTATTGATTGAATTTGATTATGATCTAATGTAAGAAATTGTAAACTGTGTAATAAACCAATACTCGCTGGTATTGATGTTAAATTATTAAACGATAAATGTAGTTCAACTAATGATGTCATGCTAATAAGAAAAATTCTTTCTCTTCACTGATAAATGAAGATTTTTCATTCAACTTACTGTCCAATATTATTCGGTAAACGTTCAATTTGATTATTATTAGCTGTTAAAGTTTCTAGACTAGTTAAATTGACTAAATACAGAAAAAAAGATTAACTTCCTTTTAGCTTTTATAACGAAATTCGCTTACCAATCGAATCCGGAAGATTCATAAGAAAGTTATCGGATAAATATAAATCAGTTAGTTTACAATCACCCACCGAACTTGGTAATTCAGTTAATTGATTTTGAGATATATCAAGAAATTTTAAATTTGTTAATTTATCAATTGACTAAATAAACGAAAAGATACATTTAGACAACAGAAGCAGCAAGAGAAAAACACATATAAAGCGTGGCAAATATTTGCAAGGGGCAATAAACTCAATACCTTATTTTTTTACTTTACTAGAATAATAATAATAATAGTGGTAACGGAATAAAATATAGTTCAAGTATTAGCTTACATCGTCGATTGAGATTAGTTTATTTGAATCAAGCCACAACTCCTGAAGAGATGGGAGATTGCTTAGAACAATAGGCTAAACAAAATAAAACGAAACACCTATTAGTTTTAAACAGAAAATTAATGATAATAGTAACATACGAATTCAATAAATGAATTAGCACCTAAATCTAATCGTTCCAGTTTTGTTAATTTTGGCAGCGTGACAGGTAATAGTCGCAAACGTGTTGCACGCATTTCCAAGATCGTTAATTCTGTTAAGCTAGAAAAAAAAGAGAACGAATTGACGACTAGTGAATGGATCAAAAGAGATTTAATTTTCAAGTAATTGAAACTATTCGCTTAGATCCAACGCATAAGACATTTCTCATCGAAACAAAAACAACATCAAGAGTTTCTTCTTTTACTCAGTACTTCATTATGTGAGTTCTTTACTGCATTAAGTATCCGTATCATTTATTATCTTACTCTTATTTTCACTTACCGCCCGAAATTGCCAGGTAAAAATTCTAGTAATGTATCATTGAGATATAATTCTTTTAAATTAATTAACATTGTCAATCCTTCACATAATCTAAAGAATGAATGAGTTAGTCAAAAAAAAACAATGAAAAGTTAAAAACAAACCTTTCTAATCGATTTGAACTACAATCCAATGAGGTCAATAATTTACAATATCGAATATTATCAGGAAGTGCCATTAAATCTAGACAAAAATGCAATAATTATTAGAATAACACAATTTAAGTTTGATTTCATACCATTTCGGCTTAAATCTAAACGTTCTAAATTGGTAAAACTTGAAATAGATGGTGGTAAACAATCAAGTTCATTATCAGATAAAAGTAAATGACGTAGAGCATGACATTGAAATAGCCACTAAACGAAAATAAACATATTTTTATCTATTTCATTGATTTCTGTTCTTACTTTTGGCAATTCTTGAAGACAATTTGCTTCTAAATGAAGTTCTTCTAATGTATTTTCATAAAGAAGTAAATCTTCTGGGACAGATGACAAATTTCCATGACTATAATCAACTGTCGTAATATCATCACGTCTTTTTCGACTACCATTACATTTGTGTAGTAGAGCTAATCTAGAAAAAATAGTAAACAGTCAGGAAAAAAAGAGTATAGGATTCCTAGGTAATTTTAAACATACCGAACTTTTTTGGCAACTGATGATGGAAACGTAAGAGGCATTGATAATGTAAAAAAAAAAGATATTGAATATAAAGTTTCTTTCTTTCTTTCTCTTTATTGTTAGTGGACACCGTCGTAGAGGAATAGCAAGATATGATAACGAAAGCGACATCTACTTTGGATTTATTAATAAATATAAAAATCTATATTTATTAATAAATATAAAATATGTAATAGAATACGATTTACGAATCAATAATAATTATGCTAAGCAGAAAAATCATCTGTGAACGAAATTCTCTGATGTAAGGTGAATTAACACATGCATGTGCGAAAACGGCTCTAGTCAGTTCAAAGTATGTAGCAAAGTTGCATTTTACTTCATTTTCCGAATACATTACTTTAGGTTTTCGGTTCAGGGTGTATCAGAAGGAAATAATCTAAAATGTTTTTGCATTTTATCTTCATAATAGTTTTCCAGTATGGCCCAGAGTAGAGTCCAGATTTTAATCTCTATCAACTAGTACAAGCTCTCGGTAAAATGACGCTCAGAGTGTGTCAAAGCACATTTGACAAATATCCGGTTGTAGGTATCGTTACAGAAGAAGACAATTTACACATCGCACAGTCATATCAAAAACACGTTTTTCGACTAGCGGTTTTACTTCACAATAAGCTCGGAATGTCGAACAAGTTAAAATTGATAAAATCTACATGTAAATTGCAGAAAGACTACTCGTTTTGAAGAGTTCATGCTCTCTTATCGCGTTTGAGAGCATTATAGATTCTTAAAAACGACCTTTTTGAAGTAGTTTGTCGTTCAAACGGCATTATAACAAAATTCTGACATGTTTACAGGCGTATTTTTGGAGGTCTTGTGTATGTGAGTACTATGTGAGACTTGCTTTTTGAAAACATATTATTTTCTGTATTTCTTACGCTCGCTGATGGTACAATATGAGAATGTTTTTTCTTTTATTCCGTATGCCATAACTGGAGAATCGAAAAATTTAAGTGATACCTGCCTAGTGATCTATATATGTTGTAAATGAAATCTTTTTCTTATTTTGGTTTCTGTTTTTTTTCTATGCGCCACTTTCAGGTGGCTATTAAAAGGACTGCTCTTGATATGGTATTTTACCTCGATGTGAAGCTACCACAATGCAATACTTCATCACAAGCTTGGTGAGGATTCTGTTTGGAATCTTTTTGCCAATGAAAAGACGTTATAGAGGGTGCAAATCCATGACGATAGCGCTATCAGACATTCACCGCTTTGTTCACTCTATTGTTTATTAACGCTTATCTTGGATATTGTTCAACACAGACACCACCAATCTATTTATCACACAAACGCATCTCTAATTAATACTACTCTGACGGAAATTCGATCCACAGAAGTGTTTCTAATTTTAGTTAGTGCCTGCTTAACGTATTCCACACGAATTGAAAAATTGCCAACCTTTGGCACTGGCATCAATCATAAATTCATCGCTACCATATATCTATCAGATATGCATAAAAAGGCGTTTTTTTCCAATGAGACAATCCATCGGTATCTATCCATATAATAAAAACAGGGAAACAATCAGATTAAAATCGATTATAATTTGGAATAATCGATTAAAATTGATTAAAGAAAAATAAAATACAAAATTTAGTTCTTAGTGAAAAGAAATGTTCATTCGGTGAAATTCAGTTTCCTGTTTATTTATTTCCAAGATTAGAAAAACTCGAAGCTCAAATGACAAAAAAATAAATAGGACGAATAATTCGATTTTTATTATCGAAAATTCATAATAAAACATGAAATTTATTCTATTTATGCATTTCAAAGGTACCAAAAGTCTGTCTAAAAGAAACAAAAGTGTTAATCAAATCAGAAAACTTACTCAATGATCATTCTATTAAATATATTAATCGTGATTTAAATTTATAGTGGTGAAAATTTCGTGACTTAGGATATCTTTTATTGATATTATTGTTGTATATAATAGTTATTATTTTTAAATAAAAAAAAATCAAAGATCGAAATTTCAATAAATTACATGATTTTATCCTAGGAAAAAATAAGGCTTCCTGAAGTTGAAATGCAAAGAAAGCATTTTTTGCCGATATGCTAACGTCATTGGATAGTGCTTGTCGGCATGCTTTTCAAATATTGGATTTTGTCCATCAAGGCGAATTATAATGAAGAAAACTTAGAAAATACAATTTTTCTGATTTTCACGTTAAAATGATATCATTTTTTTAGAATATTGTTGGATTGTTGCTTTTTTCTTATATTGATGTTTGATTTTATTTTCTCGAAATATTCAATTGGGAATCTTTAGACATCCTACTTGGATTAACAGGCGAAAGAACTTCAAAAGTATTTCAGACATATTTTGAGCAACAAGCAAACTTTCTGGTCTCTCGAAGGATATCTTGAGGGTGTGGGGTGTGCGTGTGGGTGGATTTCGTTGTGACAAAGTGCATATATGTCGATGAAGATATAATCTATACTCAGACCACACCCACCCACACCCTCAAGAAAGTTCAGAACTCGGAGGGATATTCTTTATAAAGACAGATTTCTGGTGCACACTTGTGTTGTCTATTTGAAAACGTTTCGCTTCGCGACGTAGATCTTTTCCATGGATTTTTATTTTGCTCATTCTTCTCTTCATTTCGGCTTAGCATCCGAAATATGCTTCGTTTATTTCTGTGTGACTTGAGCAATGGCAAGGCTCGTAAACGTTTCGCATTTATTTTCTACATTTCACATAACGATTGACACCATGGCCACCTTTAGCGTCTGAATATATAATGAACGAATATTTTTTATATCGTTATTTTCTCGTCAGAAATTTTCCAGTTCAGGAGCAGAAAATTTTTCCCATTGTGTGGTATTGTCTAAACAATATTGTAGAAAAAAGCACCGAGAAACCATTTACATTCCATAGAACATTATATTCTTTGTATATTTAGAAGCCAGACAAGTCCCTCAGAGAAAAGAGAGTATTGGGCTATAAGCAAAGGTCGGCAGAAAAAAAGAAAATTTCAATATTTTCGATAAAACTTTTCTGAACAAAGGATTTTTAATAACAAATAAATATGTGTGTGTAGCACGCTGAAAGTACTCTGATATAAGGTGCTATTCAACTCTTATACGCGTCGTACGACTAAGAAAGCCAGACCTCAAGTAAGAAACTTCTGTCGTCTGGCTGTCTACATCCACAGAGGAATTCCTCCCTCCACGTCCTAACATTTTTTTTCTGGCGATATCACTAGCTTGAGTCTCACCTGAATTCTGGAATAGTAGGCTGAGCCTCACCAAAATGATGGCAATAAGCTGTCGAATGTGTATACTTGAAACACTTGAGCCTCATCTGATTTTAAAACATTCCGCCACCCCTGAAATATAATGATTTTCTTTTTTTAATATTTAAATAGCGATGGTACCGGTGATATTCATAAAGAATTCTTTGATGATGAAAACTTCTTATATCAACATTCAAAATCTGGTCTTTTGTCAATGTCTAATAATACACCAGATACTAACTGTTCACAATTTTGTATTACTACCGCTGCAGCACCGTCGCTCAACGACAATTTTGTAAAATGTCTAAATTCATTAATTCTTTTATTTACTATTTTTTCTCTCTCTTAAAGGTTGTTTTTGGTGAAGTCATTGATGGTATGGAAGTCGTTAAAAAAATAGAAAGTTGTTATGGTATAGTTTTTAACTAATATTATTTTTTATCAAAATCTATTTTATTTACCCAAAATTTAGATGCATCATTGGATGTACCATCGGCCACAATATTTATCAGAGAATGTGGTATTGTAACATAAATGCATCAAACAACGCCAGAAATGAACTTGATCCTCTTGATGGATTTTTTTCTCTTCATTTATGTAGTGTTGTTTATTTTTCAAAAAAAGAAAAAGAAAAGCCATCAAAACAGGACATTGATGATCAATCAGATTATAAATTTATCATTGACATTTACCAACAAAATGAATTCTTCTATAAAGAACATTTAAAAGCACTGCCAGCTAGCTAGAACGAGGATCTATCAGATATCTCAAGGTAATATCATGTGCTACAAGGTATTACCCAAAAAGATACAAACAGATGTCAAATATCAAAAATATTTTTTATTGAAATTGAGGTAAAAAAATAATATTTAACTTCTAAGAAAAAGCTTTCTATTAGACATGAATAACATATCAACTACTTTATTACATCTATAACGGACGATACTGATGTTCATTGATATACGAAAAATAACAAGAAAAAGAGAGAGAAAGGTCATATTGTTGTTTTCCATCCATTGATCGCCAATTAAGATTATCGAAAAATTTGTCATTGTTCCCATGGACGAAATTGATCAAATAGAATAAATCTGTCTAAGCAAAGAAAAATAATCTGATGAAGTTAAACATGGAAGGTTCGCTGATCCAGTTGAATGATTTACCTGATGAGATTCTTCTTATTATTCTTAAAAAACTAGACAATATCGAAGTACTCTACTCGTTCATAGGTTTTAATAAACAATTAGACCAACTTGTACATGGTTCAATATTTACAAATTGTTTAACGATGACCAGACGTTCTAATGATTCATATTATCCATTAAATGGTCCAGTATTTCAACGATTTTGTTCACAAATTTTACCTAAAATTCATCACAAAGTCAAATGGCTCAATCTTGAATCATCAACTATGAAAGATATTCTTCTTTGTACAAATTATCCTAATCTATATGGACTCGGTTTATATAATATCAACAAGGAATATGCTTTTCGTATCTTTACTGGTGAGAGATTTTCCTTTGATGTTTTCCTCAATCATTAATATTTCGAAAATATAGATAAATAAATAGAATTATTTATTTGGAAAAAGATTTTTCTTCAAATTAATTGTGTCATAGGAAATTTTATCTATATTAAGAGTAAAACAAAAATGGCATTGGGAATCAATGTGTTCAAATGGAGAAAAATAATATTTACTTTAGAAAGAAAGAGAAAGACTAAAATAGATGCGACAATTTGATCAATATATCTAAAATGTTTTATCATTGATTTTATATTTATGTTTAGACGAAACTCCTTTAATTCACATATTTCAGAGTAAAATTTCATCGCTTGTTGTTGATATTCCACAAAAAAGCATAACTGGTACAGGCAATAGCATTACAGATATATTTACAGCTATTTTAACCGTATGCTCGAAGTTAGAATATTTCCGTTTTGGCCCAGCTTATTGTTGTCAACTACGTTTTCAAAATCCTCCAACTATATCCTCTTCAACTTTGTTAGAAATGCACGTTCGTGTGGAATGTTTTGTCGATTGTCTTTATTTACTTGATGGTCGTTTCGATCAACTTCAAAGACTTTCTGTTAGTATTGATAGAATTGCATCTCCACAGATAATAATCGCTAATAAAATAAATTGCACCAATTAATATCTAATATATTGAAATAAATTGATTTATGTTTTTAGAAACAAATACCCAACCTAAAACTTTTTTCGCTTCGTTGCAGATGGGCGACAGATAAGTATAGTGAATTAATTGTGCCACTTCTACATCGAATGTTCAATCTAGTAGAACTCGACTTACGTCTTGTTATGTTTGGCGAGAAAAGATTTTTTGATGGTTATGATTTGAAATACAATATTATCAGTCATTTATTACGATTAAATAAATTTGTATTCAACATAAGCTCACATCTGCGTCTAAACGATCAAATTTATTTATCGTCGAATGAAGATTGTCAACTTTCATTCAAAGATATTCAAAATAATAAAGTTATTTCATGTGTTGATTATTTCTCAGATCGTAAAAGAGGTCAATGTCATATTTACTCATATCCATATCAAGGAAAACGTTATCAATCTATTACAAATAATTTTTCGTATGGATTATTTGAATCTGTTCGTGAAGTCTCATTATATGACGAACGTCCTTTTGAACATGAATTCTTTGTGAAAATTGCTAAATCTTTTCCCTTCATGGAAAAATTAACTGTATACAATAAAAAAGCACAGAAGAATAAATTGCATCAACCATCAAAAGATGATAATCGACATTTATCAATCATTCAATATCCTTATCTTACTACACTTGATCTCAATGATGTTCATGATGATTATGTGGAACAATTTCTGCTGGATACCAAAACATGTTTATCAAGAACACTCGAAGTCGAAATCGACTATGAACCTGTAGAGAGAGTGACACACAATTTTACAAGAGATGCAACCCGAATCAATTGTGCCAAATTGCTTTATTTTTGTGTGCCTTCTGAAATTTCAATTCAACAGCAGCTGAAAGACTATTTTCCTCATACGAAAATTTATTATTTGTAATTAATCATGGAAATAAAATTGGTTAGAAGTAGATGTACTAATAGAAAATGAGAGATGTGGAAAAAAATTAACGAGGAAAATAATCTTGAGGCATCTCACAATGATTTCATTTAAAAAAATTTCTATTTAGAAATAATAAAAAAAGCATTCAGATATCAATGTTGGCATAAATAAGAAGTTGTAACGTATTCTATACGTTCCCATTCTCGTATAGTTGATCAAACTCATCGTTTCTCACTCATAGTGAACACTTGGAACAAATCAGCTAATAGTATAAACAGGGTGAGATTTTTTAAATTGAAATGGGACTCAGTGACGTAATTTGATTAATTCAGTTAAAAGATTCTTCTCAAATAGGATATGACAGAACGTTTCATATTGTATAATAATATATAAATGTGCTATATCTATATGATCTTTTAATTCTATTTGCTACTGATTTGTTTGTTTATTATTATCGTCGTATTATATTTGGTTTTGAAAATTATGCGGAAAGAATAGACAATTTAGGTTTCACAAAAAATGCAGTCTGTTCTAAAAAATGAATACTCGCCGTGTATTATCATCGTTCGGACCATTTTATCAATCGTAAACTACTGATGTATGTATTTTATTCTGATATCTATTTACCGATAAATTTTAGCTGAATACACCTTGGTAAACAGCTTATGGTGGCAAATATACGGTAACATTAATACATGACGATGGTGTAGGATTCGAACTTATGCAACATGTCAAAATTTCTATTCGGTAAGAAGTGTATTCTGCTCATTTTATTTAATGATTGCATTAGATGTGTTCGAGCACCAGTTGACTTTGAAGATATTCCGTTATCAAGTAATGTAGCTAATGACGAAATGTTTGAGAGAGATGTTATGGCTGTTCAACGTAATGGAATAGCTCTCAAAGGTTGGTTTTTTGAAAATTCAATTATTGACATATATTCAACTCAACTAGGTAATATTGCATCACAAAATACAACATACTCTCAATGTTCTTTTACGGTAAGTTCGATGATTTATTTTGTTTACAACAGCGAGATTCATATTTTAGTACTCGTCTTGATTTATTTGCTAATGTTATTCGTTTTAAATCAAATTCTATCTTGAAACGTGAATTTTAATATTTATTTTAAGTAAGAATTTCATCATTGTTTTCTTTATAGTTATAAGATGAGCAAAATCTCTTAAAATTGCTTGTGTTGCTTTTGAAATTTCAAAGCATGCAGAATAAAAGAAAGTAACCGCTGTTCATAAAGCAAATATAAGGCAAATGCAATATAATTATTTTCTTCAAATATTTTATTATTAATTTTGTATATCGTAGGAAGTTGATTGATGGTTGTCGTGAAATAGCTGCTAAATATCCTGATATTAAATTTGATATAATGATTATTAATAATACATGTATGCAACTAGTTAATCGACCAACACAATTTGATGTTATGGTTACGACGAATTTATATGGGAATATGGTATCAAATGTATGTGCTGGTTTTGTCGCTGGTTCAAAATATGGAGAACATTATGCTATTTTTCAATAAGGTACAAGAAATACTAGTTGAGGTATTGCAGGAAAATATATTGCAAATCCATCTGGTATTCTTTTTGCTGCTGCTAATATGCTGAAATATTTAGGGCAACTAATGAAAATCTTTGTCAAATGCTATATAGAGAAGAAGATATTTTTCGATTGGATCAACATTGTTCAACTATAAGAAATGCTGTTTTATATACTATTCAAGAACATAAAATAAAAACTGCAGATATTGGTAGTACATCAACAACGACACAATTTATTGGCTGTGCATTAAATGGCATTGTTAAGATGACATCAAAGATTGTTTTCAAGTATGAAATGTAAAAACCGCATCTTGCATTTAGATATAAAAGTATTGATTAAAACTTTAATCCTGTTGTTCATTTTGTTTTGTTGCTTTGGCCTTGTCGTAATTTTGTAGTACCAATATATACCAAGGAATTGAAGTTAAACAAGAAGCAAATCAATCTGATCGTATTGATTTTGATACGGTACAAATCTATTCTCAGTTTTTGAATTCTTAATACTTTTATTTATTTATGGAGCGGAAATTGATTTGTGTGACATTGATACAGTACCAGAATTACTTGATCGAGCTCTTTCATCAAATGGTGATAATCCAATTTCAAGAATTAAATTCCTGATGCTCTTAGAAAATTTGCTCTAAATGGATTAACGCAGACAAGTATTTTATCTTTGATTTTTTCAATTTTTTTTTAATTAGTTGATGATGGTATTGCTCGTGGTAATGATGCATTAACATTATTAGAAAATCGTTCAACATATCCATTATTTATTCATTAACTTTATTGAGTTTGTTCAACTTATCTTTGAAACAGTGCATAAATTCTTTTTTTTAAAGATTCAATCATTCATGAAACAACGTCTTCATGAAATATCGTGTTAACGAAACTATTCTTATGACATTTATTATGCAAAATGCTCCAGCGCATCAAGACAAAAAATAAATGAAAATGGTAAGAAAATAGTTTAAAACAATAACATTATGATCTTTATTATTTTCCATTTAAGATTTAAAAGAGCTTTTAAAAAATAGTGGTTCAATATTTAGTAATCGACAATTAGATCGTTTATTTTCAAAGCGTGATTCATATAAACGTGTTGATCGTCTTATAAATTGTTTT